CTTTTCCCAATATACTTTGTCGTTTTTTTTTACATGGAAATACTTGTAAATTTTGGATGTCAATGCGATTAATCCTGTTTAAAGGCAGTGTCTCACCAAAGTTGAGGTCGCGCGGATCTTCACATATTCTATTATAGGGACCTCTAAATAGGCCATTACAACAAGTCCCACTCAATTTGACCTCCTCCACGTTGAGAAAAATTCGCTCAAAGTGGTACGCGGAGAGCGAGTTAATACGCGCGGACGACTCCTTCGCTCTTCCCCCTTACGCGTTTGAACATGTCCCTCCACTTGGCATCCACCTCCCCTCTGTTGCTGCCAGTGTGGCTGAGGCTGAAGTTGGAAGGTACGACTCGTCCACGTTGCTTCCGCGGGACCTCCAGATAACGGGGTTTTTGGGAACTTCGTGCGATTTTAAGCCCATAGAGTGCTAGAGAGCCGACAGGCTTGCAAAATGCAAAAATCTCTGCAACTAAATTCTGGTGAGACACTGCCCTTAAAGATCACAATTCTGTGAAAAGCAAATTTATGTAACAAGACAACAATTTCCAAGTCTCCAAACATCGCTTAACAAGTCTGTTCGGCACAGAAGTAATCAGAAAGACAGCAATTATTAAGTCTTCATATTTTCTTAACTTTGATCTCCTGACGCTGTATGTAAGTTTTTGGGACAGAAAATCAGACGTTACCATGAATGGCGATGGTTATGAACGCAAAATCATTTCAATTACAGATTTTTACGGCTAAAAACGCACAGTTTATTCTTTAGCAGAGTTTTCAGCTCTTCCCATGTCTTGATTGCCGCATCCTTCAAATTACAGTGCCAATAAATCTTTTGAACGTTGAAAAAAATGAAAGATTCCGGTTAAACCTTTTGCATCGTTGTTTCCGTTTTGTGAAGTATTATTTTTACTTGACTGTCTTCTCTCACGAGCACATGGTGCATCACGCAAGATTGCAGCTATTCTACCGGATGTTTGAGCCAATCAAATGTGTCAATATACAGAGTGTCCCAAAGAGACGTGCACACTGTTTGATCGATAGTAACTCTCTTTCTTTCATGTCTTTTACCGAGCTTGAGGTACCATTTTGTAGAGCGAGGTTCGACTTAGACTATGGAGCGAATCACCAATCACACTTCATTACTGTGAAATTACGGTATGAACTTTCAGCCTACAGCGTCACTGTGGAATGGGAATTTTGATGATAATTTCAAAAAGTCTGAAAATTTGTGTGGCAAGGTTTTCAGGCGTGCTGATTCCAATACATGACTTTTCATGAGTTTTTCGAGGTTTCTTGATGGCGTAATCACGTTCCTGACGAACATTGGAAAAACAGTTGTTACCCTAAATCCGAAATAACTTATGAAAGAAGCACTATACTGAAGTGCAAATTCCATATGTAGAGTCAGCGACTTCAACGTCTCAAGAGTTTCTGGCTTGTTTGGCTTTCTTTCTGAGGCAAATTACCGACGAAATACCGCTTCTTCTGGCTTAAAGTTCGAAGTTCTAAGTTCTAAGTTCTAGTCCTCGAAGTTCCTACCGTAATCCTACAATAATAAAGAGTGACTGCTGGTTCGCTCCATAGAGCAAATCTACATTGAACCTCGTTCTACAGAATGGTACCTCAAGCTCGGCAAAAGACATGAAAGCAGGAGAGTTATTAACGATCAAACAGTGTGCACATCTTTTTGGGGCGCACTCAGAAAAAAATTTTGGTACTCTTCCCAAAATTTTCGCGGGCCCACAAACGCCCCCAAAAATTTTTTTTATAAAGCTAAGTTGAATTTTTAAAAATTTTTAAAAATTATTTTAATTACTTACTAGTATAAATAAGTCTTTTGCACAATTTTATAGCTCATGTAAGTAACTTTCAAAAATTTCGCGACCCATTCTCGGGGGGGGGGGGGGCCCTCCCCTTCCCCTTCCCCCCCCCCTCGGTACGCCACTGCCCTACTGTGCTGTGCAGTCAAATTATTTACATTAGTTAAAGCAAAGACGATGCAACGCGGATGTCGCTTACGACGTCAAAATTCCGAAATTAGTGGTATTGAAACAGGGCTCGGCACGAGGTGGCTTTCCAAAATTGCATAGAAGTCCCCCCTCTCCTCCCCTGACTTTCACAGGATTTTACGAAGACCCTGACCCTCATAAGAGTTGGCTAGAAGAATCCTAAAACCGAAATGTCGACTTAAAACTAAAGAATAATCTTACTTGTGTTTTCCGACCCGCAAAAACGATATCCTCTTTGCTTTTTGTTCCAGAAACGATATTTAGCTTTCTTATAAGTCACCTGTGCCGAACACTGTGCTGAAAGAATTAGGAAGTGTTAAAATTGGAACCGTGTCTTCTTTTGAAACCACCGAGCCCTTGCCTATCTCCTTTAGCAGAAGACTAACACGTTTTCTTCCATGGAGATTTGCAAAATCTTAAATCTAAAATTTTGTGTTCAAGGCTCATGGCTCTCATCAAGGCCCTTACTGCATTCCCGTTGGGGAGGGAAGGGTAGAGAAGGGACTCGTCACATTTCGCTGCTCTAGATATCTGCATTTCTCCGTGTTTAACCATTATATAAAGTTTTTCGAACCTTAATGCCTTACTGGGGGGGAGGGAGGGGGGGAGGGGATCTTTGACAATTGGATCACACAAAACAGTGAAACTTGTGACTTGTGTGGCAACTTGTGAGAATCTTGTTAATATGGATACACGAAGAAGAACGCAGATATTTAGGACAACGTAAGGAGTTCTTTTTCAGCTCCCTCCCTCTCCTCCACACAAAATTTGACTATTTCTCAATTTGAGTAATGATAAGTAGATCACGCTTGTTTGTTGAAGAGAAAAATGCTTAACTGCTGAAAAATAAGTGATGTAACGTTACATAATATTGCAAAGAATTGGCAAATAATAAGCTTCTGAGATTTGCAGCACAATAGGTTAAACCTATACGCTAAGTCCCTTCCCACGACAACTGCTAGACCTTTCAAAGCTAGTATAGAATGCTAACGTTTCTTCAACACCTTCACTCCCCCCCCCCTCTCTCTCGCCTACCCACTCAGGATTCCCTATCAGTGTCAGAACGCGCACAAGTCATGGTCATAGGTCCTGCAACGGCTTTGCCTCCAATCAGCCTTCATGACCGCATCAACCAACTTCAAATAATAAGCTTCTGAGTCATTCCGCATGCATTTTAAATTCATATTCATACGGATGAGCCTAAATAGGAAGAAAAGCTGGTTCTGACTATAAATAATTACTTCATCTTTCTAAAAATATGTTTGTTGAGATGCTAGAAATGAATCCTATAGCATAATAGTTTACTGGACTGCTCGAATTTACTCTTGCGATTGGCGCAAAACTCGCACTACTTTTTTGAGAGTTATATGTTCTTGATATTCGAAGCGTTTCTGAGGCAATCGTTTGAAAGTGGAGCTTATGCGCTTTGTAACAGCATTCAGAATTCTTTCTACTGTATTCGCTTCAGAAGCAGAAGAAATAAACTTGCCAACGTTTCGATTTTTGCAGTTACTCTAAAACGATGTTGTTTCTAAAATAGCCAGGTATGATACGATTAACTTTCCTTAGTTAGGTACATGTTCCACTCTTTCTGTGGCCGCATTCATCAACGAACCCTGAGGGTTGAGCTTACCCTCCGGGGTTAGTTTAACCCTCAGGGTTCATTGGCCGTATTCATCAACCGTAGGCTAGGGTTTACCATGGAACGCGATCTACCCGTATCGATCAACGAACCTGTGGCCGTATTCATCAACCCTGAGGGTTAAACTAACCCTGGAGGGTTAAGGCGTCAGTTACGCGTGCGTTGTGCAAACTCACATCACAGAATGCCTAAGTACTTGCTGAATTCACTTTATACTTCTATTCTTTCACTGTTATAGTAGTATAGTCAACGAATAAGCTTCTAACACTAGTTTTTATAATACATCTCTAGCATACTTGTGCAGCATCCAATTTACAGCGTGAGTTTACTTTCATGTGTACAATTGTGCAGTGTAAGTTCTACTTTTGAGCAGTTCGTTTTATACCGGGCTTGTGCTACTCTTTTAGGAGTCGATGCGTGGTATTATAAAGGGCTTCTTCTGATTTGGCACTTGTCAGAGTGGAATGCCATTTTTCCTCGTCGCATTCATTTGTCACCAAAGCTAGAATTCTTTTTCTCGCGAAGTCAGTGTTTCATGTACTTCGAATATGAACATAAAACGAAGTCGAAACTAAATACTATAACAACAGCCAATACTAAATACTACAATACTCGTTGATCGTTTTTCGTAAACTATTAGATGCGAGTAAATGTTTGTATGAAGTGTTAGGGTAGAGTTAACCTTGCTCTGAGCTAGGGTTAAATTAACCCTGATGAATCACGTAAGTTTAACCCTCCAGGGTTAGTTTAACCCTCACGGTTCGTTGATGATTACGGGTTAGTCGCTTTCGGGGTAAAATTAACCCTCAAGGTTAGATTTAACCCTCAGGGTTAAGCCTACCCTGTATTTCATGAATACGGGTTAAGCGCTTTCCAGGGTTAAACTAACCCTCCAGGGTTAGTTTAACCCTCGGGATTCGTTGATGAATACGGTCACTGGATGAGCAAGGTTTGCGCGGTTGTAAGTTTTGCACAGAGTTGTAAATTACAAGGAAAAGGCCAGAAAACCGATTTCGCTGTTTTTTTTTGCCGTCTGGAAGCCCATCGACGCAGAGAACATCCACAACACCTCAAAAAACACTAATACGGCTGTCTGTTGGGAAGTTTGCATCGTTCCAAATAATTTGCCCCTCTTTTCAAAGAAGAGAAACGCAGGTAATTTTGCAGATAACCTCTTTTAGACCCGAATTTGATAGAAATTTTTTCTACGCTACTATCAAGCGCATATGTAGCTCCATGATTTCTGTTTTCCGATGAAATTGTTGTATCGTGCAAAATGTTTCAAATGTTAAAAAGCTAAAATCTTTCTTCAAAAAATGGTTCGATAAGTCTGTGAATTAATAAAACATTTATGTAGGTTTGCAACAAAAAAACTCCAAACAACTAACTGGAACTATCGAAATACAATGGCTACTTTAGAAAAAAAATGCTTGATCAGAGAATACTGGATCGAAGTAGATTGGATACCAAGTGTTGCTCTCTTTATCCAGAACATACCATCCTTCGTTGGCAATCCATGTATCGGTTGCGTAACAGTCAGGGTTAGGTACGAATTTCCTACAAACACAGGCTGACTTCGAGATATTGCTAATAAAGTAAGAATAACAGATATCAATGATATTTCAAGTGGGAAAAACATTTGTTATGTATCAAGTTATAACTTTTTAATTAGCATGAAGGCTTCTGTTATAGCAAGCTCTAGGTATTTTCACATTAAAGCTAAGCATCGATGCAATTTTGTGCAATGGTCTGCACTTGAACTGCAATGTGGAAAAATACGCATAGGTTTTTATAAATATCAGGTTAGCCTAAAAGTTTTGTCAGTCTTCTGAATCAACCAGCAAAAACGGATAATGGTAGACAAACAAATCAAGCTGTATGCGATGCAAAATTTCGTACTCTTTCAGCTGCTGCAATGCTATTCGTCGAGAGAGTGATGAGGTTGTGATGAGGTCGTTTGAAATTACGATCCTTCGTTCTCACTATATCTAACTTTTCCTAATTTTGAAACCTCTATTGAGATTTTTGGGGGCTCTGATAGTTAGCACAAAGAGCAAACCTTTTTTCAGTTAATGCAGTTTTTCTTCTTTTCTTAGTTAACTTTTCAAATTTTCTTGGATAATTTTTAGAAAGTCTTGGATTTTGGAAAAATCGCACAACAGCTTATTGCATAAAATACAAAATGTTTTAAATAACATTCACAATTGTTGATCTTACAAAGCAAACAAGCGGTTTTCGCTCCAACTGTGAGAATTTTGAACTTAGAGGTTATCAGTGTGCACTTGTAGAATCAAAAATATCGCTATTTGCTTGACAGACTTTGCGTGTCTCGCCGAGAAAAGAATGTTAGGAAGAGGAGGAAGTTTCATGGAATGATACCTGAACTGTCTATCATTCAATGGTTTACAAGATTGAAATAAGCCAAAAATAAAATTTGATTACTTAGAAAATACATCTTAGAAATCCTGATAGAACAAACCGCAGAAAAAAATTGCATCGCTGGTAAAGGGGCCCTATCTGCTGGTCATCAAAGCTTCCCAATAGTCTCAGATAAAATCTCTGAAAATTAGCGAAAAGACGTGGTAAAAACGAAGGGTTTTAGCTTGAAAGTATTACCTCAGCACTCTCTGAATCAATCACACCGGCATTATAGTAAATGGAAAGAAAAAGAAGTTTTACATCGGGTGCATTTAAAGTGTTTGTTTATCTTTAATCTACGGCATTTGCTGGTGGATACAAAAAATTGACAAAACTTTTAGACTGACCTACAATACCGCTCATAATTCGTCAAAAAAGTCGCCGGACTGTGGCGTATTCCGCTGGAGTACGGCACAGTCCACTAGAGTCCGTCGGAATCCGCGTCGCATCGCCCTATCTCGTTTCAGAATGAACGAATTTTGAAACCGAGGACACCATTCGATTCAGCTCGGCGAGTCGCATCATACTGTATGTAGAAGTGCCACAATCTGTTGATTTACTTGTAGGCATACGGTAGGCAACAAGTCTTCACTCAGTTTTGCATTTGTTTGGTTAGATTAGTCAGCGAGCTGAAAACAACATCGCCATAGATTTGCTGCTGATGACACATCGTACGGATACTGTTGGAGTATGGTAAAGAGTTACTTTAAACTTCGATCGATTTGTTTTAAGTCAAACGCAGGGTATTTCATGCGCTGATTGCGGTAATTGCATTCGTTTGATGCTCAAGGCACAGTGCGCAGGGATCTGCGATGTAAGGTTGTTTTAGCTGCGTTCGAAACATTGCTTGTTGTTGCTTTCACGTGTTGCTCATTCTAAACAGAAAGATCGCATGCCGCACTGGCCATCCGAACAAACGAAATGGTGTCATCAAATGCGCCTTGGTGAACTGATTCCTAATCTACTTTCCTTATCTGCTAAAAGGCTCTCTAGTAGAAGTCTTAGGCGTCTCCAAACTTCGCAATCAATCAGTCACATCAATTAGCGACACAAGGACCCTTCGTTATTCTAATGGAATTTTTGCTCTTTGTAGTGAGTACGCACAACATCATGCCCATTATGGTCTTTCGAACTGGTCTTCAAAGTAATATGCAGAGCTAGCTCAATGACTCTATACTTCCAACCGCTCATAACTTCTCTTCGAAACTCGTTCAGCAGTTAAGGAAGGTAGTACCCTTATCAAGACGTTTTGGATAAGCATTTTATCAAGATCGACAGTTGTGATCCTAAAGTCATTTCCTGTTACATAGTAGCTAATATTTAATATGACGTCATGCTGTAGGGTACATGTTACTTAGCATACGTGATTTAGCTGTGTATAGTGAGCATAATATTTTCGTGAGAACGTGTTTTCACCATAGCACATCGCAGCGCACATTGCACATAAAAAGTTTTATTAAGTATTTTTCAGTAGAGCTGTGTCCTTGCAACATCCTCGATAGAAAACCAGTCAAAGAATTTTCTTCAAAGCTGAGAGAAAGAGCAGTGAATTTCAGTAATATGCAAGGTCCAGGATCAATTTACCGCAAGACACCAGCACCGTAGAAAGCAAATTTTGCGTTAGTTCTGTAACATGCATTCCATATTGCCCATCTCAGCTGAGTTTCGCGTTGATCTGAGGTCTTCACTTCCGTTCTGCGGACGGGTGTTTATGTAAGCGCAACTCAGTGCTTTTTGCAGATGAGGGGCTCCAGTAGGCATAATCCGATAGAGCAGCTTCCTCAGTTTTTAGTTGCAGAAAAAAGCGCAGAAAGTCTTTTGCTATGAGGGATTAAATCGCTAGCAAACTTTGATGAAATCCATGTTCACCTAAAAAAAACTGCCTACCGTAGCGCTACACTAAGAAGCTATCTTGCAAATAAGATAAGATTTTCATGATTAGCGGGTCAGATAACCCCTAAAACAGATTGGGAGAATCGGGACATTTGATTTTTTTCTCGTTCCTCGCTCTTGAACTCGCCGCAGGTTTTGCTTACGAAATAAAAAAAAAATAAAAAAAAGTTTACGAAATCACGTTCTCATGAATTTTGTACCAAACCTAAAAATCGCATATTTTGTGGAAATCTGTTGGCTTCCCCATGTGTAAGATAAGCCTGGTACTTGTAATCAATGTGTTATGCACTTGTGATACATTCCACCAAAATACGCGATTTTTAGGTTTGGTACAAAATTCATAAGAACGTGATTTCGTAAACTCATAATCATGGGAATAGTGCAGATGAAAGCACAGATAAAGTACATTCCGACTTACTCTTCACAGAGACTCCAACCTACAAGAATGCGCCGGAAAGTCCGTCAGAAGACAGGCGAAAAGGGCAGGCAAACTAGCGAGCTTGCGTGACTTAGTTAAATACCGCTCAATGTAACTTTGCAATACCTTTCGTGCGAAATAGCTAAGGTTTTCAAACAGTGGGTCCTAAAACTTTTGTGAGCGAAGTTTCAAGTCGGATCAAAATCATTAATATTTCAGGCAAAACCTGCGGCGAGTTCAAGAGCGAGGAACGAGAAAAAAAATCAAATGTCCCGATTCTCCCAATCTGTTTTAGGGATTATCTGACCCGCTAATCATGAAAATCATATCTGATCAGCGGGTGATCTACCACCGAAGAGATCACGCATCGATCTTGGCGCGGCTATTGACGTCTCGAACGCCATTCGAAGTTCGAGCCTCACTGGCGGTCGGTGAGCGACATCCAGTGATCCTTTTTTTTTTGTTTTTCTCGAGCTCACCACGATCTCGTTTTTTTGATTTTGTTCTGGATCTTGTTGTTGTTAATAAATTTTTGTGTTCAACTTTTTTGTAAAGCTCTCGGCGGTTTCGGCCGTAATCGTACGTATCAAATTCTCACATGGGGGCCGAACCGGCCGTCTGAGAGCGACAAAAAGAAATACACGGAAAAGCACAAAAGCGAGTCCAGAACAGGGACTGTTGTAATTCTCGTGCGATTGTCGCGTTGTGAACCGATAAACGGAGGTTCAAAAACTGTTTTCAGAATACGGAATCGAACGCGTCAAAAGCCACGAAAGGCAATGATCGAATCGATGGACACGGGAAAACCCGAAAAGCAGGTAAGTGCCTGCATGAAAGAGGACGAAATTGTTAGTGAGGTTGAGTGCATGATTGCAAGTATACCTGAAACGCTAGCGTCAAAACTCGATGAGCATAGAATAGCTTACAAGTTTAAAGACTCGCTCGAGAATGAAATAGCGCAACTTGTAGAGAAAACAAAAAGCGCATTGGCAATTTTGAAGACAAAAACTGGAAAGGAAGGAATGTCTGGGGGACAAATTAGGGAAGTCCTCTTGAAAAAGGGAATAGAGTCCGTAGAGGACTTAGAAGAATTTATATCTACTACAGAGAGAGATAGTAGATTAGTAACAGAGCTATGCGAACTCTTAGATACCAATGTTTTTCGGATAAAGGAAAAAGTACAGCAATTGAAGGCAGAAGTTCCCGGAGAGGGAAAAGGTCCAAATGAAGAGAAGAAAAGTACGAATCAAGGTACGAGCAGGATGGCTGAAAACAAAAGAGAAAATTCTGCTTTGCAGAGCGCTCTCGCAGACCTTCCGAACAAGAGGATTGGTACGCTTTACAAACCGCGCTCGAATCCGCATTTCCAGAATTGGGAAGAAAACGAAAGGGAGCCGGAAATGGCAGGTCAGAGCCTTCTAACATTTCTAGAGGCTTCAACATGTGTAGATCCGGGAACTTTTAAAGGGAAAACAAATGAGAATTTTGATGAGTTTCTAAGAAGGTTCCTTAGGAAGTACGGAAAGGTGGTCAAAGAGGACCAAACCTTAAAAGAAATACTAATAGACGACCACTTAGGGGGGAGAGCAAAGAATTTGTACCTAACCCTACCCAGAGATGTAAGGGAATCAACCTTCGAAGTGGTAGTGCAAGAGTTAGGGAGGGCTCTTGCGGTAGACTCTACGGCGGCGAGACTTAGGGCCCTAACGGAAATGAGGAAGCTGAAGTTAAGGCCGGGGCAAAGCGTAGTAGACTTTTGCATAGTGCTAGAAAGACTAGGACGCAAAGCAGACCTGGAGGGGAGTCCCGAAAATAAGTCTATGGAATA